AGCTATAGATTCTAAAGAGCATTTGATTGGGCAGAAGATGTGATGAGAAGGTGACGTCCGCAGTGATGTCATAAAAATCTGTTCTACGAACAATGTATTAATTACGTTTTTTTGTGCTAACAGTGATGTATTATAGGCCAGATAACTTTAATAACATGCTATTAACATTACTGGAGGAATGTTTGTTCATAACTTTGCTGGAAAGTTAGCCAAAGCTCCATGAATGCTCCCGGTTAGCTGGGTTAAATGTAGTCCATAGACACATTATGCATTATATTTCAAGTCTTCTGAAGTCGTCTGATTGATTTGTGTCAGAAAAATAAATAAATAATAAAGGTAAATACTCTTCCCACAAACCTCATTAGTATATATTCAAACTTGGTGCATCACGATTGGATTTTTAGTGAAAAACTTCCCACCTAACATCCCCTTTTGGGTCCTAATGAAATGGAATTGAGAAATCATTCAGTTTTGGAACGACATTTGGGTGATGACTGAATTATTCCTTCAAACGTTGACCTGCCATTGGTTCTTCATGCATGTCTCCCAGACACAGATATAACACTAAACTGATTCTGACTGCCAGAGTTTATTTAGCATTAGGAGACCACCTGCTACTTTCAACGCCTGAGCAATGTTTGAGAGCCGGAGCGCGATGACATGAACAACAGGAGTCGTGAGCCAAGAGCACACTGTTCTTTAGCACGGGGCTGATGGGAATGAAACGCCACACAGTGAATCACAGACATGAAGAAGAACCCTGTTTGAGTTTCTCACAGCATGATCAACACAGATCGGCTGAGAAGAGTCATGCAGCGATTGGCCTTAATGCGTTACTGTGTCAGAAATCACATACTGTACATTTGTTTTGAAGCTTAAACTGTTAAAAGAGTCTGATCTATAGACCTCATGTAGCCCCGCCCCTTTTCAGCGCTGCGCTTGTTGTCTTTTGTCTTCCGGTTTGTATTTCCACAGCGATCTTACATATTTATGATTGAACTGGTCGTTTTTAAAACGTACTGGTCTACTGATATTTCAAATCCACTTCATCAGCCAATTTCTCTTGGGCAGCGATGCCATAGAAATATACAGAGCTACCGCAAAACCGGAAGTTCAAGGACAATATTATAAAGTTGGCTGCTAACGTGTTACTCTGGCGCATAAGCTCTATATAGTATGAATACAGCATGAATGAAATTTGAACATGCTACATCTGCCATGTTGTCATGTGACCTTCGGTTTCAGTTGCATCGCTTCAACTCCATTCACAAATCCTCTCCCTTGGCCTCATGGGATAGTAAAGTGTCCATCAGACAGAAGTATAAGGTATATTTTGCCTACCGTTTTATGAATACTGAATATGCTCACTATGTTTTTCGCCTACTATATAGTATGAAAGTCATATTTGGATGCAGCATGTCACCAAATCTCTCCTTATCCTCAGCTGCATGGAAACAGTGCGCTCCTGAAAAAATGTGTGTAAGTAGAAGTTGTACATTAAAAAAAAGTATATAAATCATACTAAAAAAACAGTATAACTTCCTATGTTTGGAACACGTTTTTTGATCAGAAGCATCCCATGATGCTTTCATATGCTTTCTAGGAAAGCAGTTCACTTGCATAAACAAACCAACCATCTGAACAAGAGCACAAAGTCACATGATTCTCATCTTATGATGCCAATTAGAGCGATAAATTTACAAATGACTCCTGAACTCTAAAGCTAATTACTGCAGCCCAGAAGCACAGAAACAAACTGGATGAAATGCATCATGTTTATGCAAGAAGAAGAGAAGAAAAAGTGTTTTAATAACTGGAAATATAGAAACACACACCACAGTTGTTATTAATGTGCAGACAAACAGCCAACACAAATAGGCCTGTTGCCTGAGTCAGCTGTTCACAGTATCCTGACGGAGAAATGTGATATATAAAAATTCCCACTTCTCTTTTTCATCCGCCCTGACCCTGACTGAAGACCACCGAGTGTCTAACACACGACCTCCAGCCTCTGAGATCTGAAACACACCGGACACGACGCTTTAACCTCCATTAAACAGCAGAAAGTGAGCATGTTTGCATCCAAGACCTCCAGCTCTACTGAGTTCAGTTCTAACATGATCATGACATGAAGTGATAATCAAGTCGATATACAGTACGACCCCACAGAGCAGATAAAGTTAAGCACTCGTCTCAGATCACACATGAAATCCCTGGTTTGAAAAATACACTTTCAAAGAAGTTTGCAGTAGATCTGTTGACTCAGCACTGTGTCTCTGCTAAAATATCATGTGATCTTTACTAATACTAGTATCATGTGGCATATGAAACCACTTAATCAGCAACTATTCCAGCTTAAATACTTTCAAATGGTTTGTTTTTTCTTGTTGCTTTTTTGTTTTGACCAGAAGTCATTTTTTTTGAGAACCAAATATACATACATTTAACCAAACATGCAAGTAATAAAAAATAAATAAAAAATAAATAAATTTGACAGCATACCATAGTTCGTGTTGCTTTCAAATTTCAACTTTTAGATATTTTTTCCAAACATGTTTTAATGTCATTTGACTTTACACACTAAAAAATGCTGGGTTGTTTTAACCCAATTTTAGGTCAAATATGGACAAAACCGAACGTTGGGTTAACATTTTAATTAAAAAAATTAACCCAACGGCTGGGTTAATCAACAATATTCCAATTTGTATTTAACCTGGAATATTTCTTTAATTTCCCAGACAAATGGGATTTTTATTTGGTTGCATTTTGGTTTTTAATTGGGCAATAAACTGCAATATGCTTCTAAAATGAAAACCCAGCATCATGTCTTTGCACTGGACTGCACTGTCTGGGAACAAGGCCTTTGCGTTGGGTTGGGTTTGGGAAAATCGCCTTATTCAGCAATATTCTATGTCCGTAAGACCACAAAATTGCTTAAAGTTTGGGAGCAACTTTGTGCTCAGCATTGTTCTGTGTCTGGGAGTGAAGGTTATAAGAGCATCACCACATATATGAATAGAGATGTTCTTGACTCCCATAATGAGTGTGTAACCCAATCCAACGCTCCCCAGCTCAACCATCTGGAAGACGACTCCCATTTGCACTTCTCAAAGCCGAGACGCTTTGAAATGAACACGCCAAACTAATGTAGTATCTGTAGGTCTGATCATGCTCTCAGGATCATCTCAATGCACTTCTGATAGAAGCTGTATATGAAAAGCACATCACAAAACTTTCCCTTTGCTCTTTATATGATTAACGCCAACCCTTAAAAACAAAACGTTGAGCCACATTCAATTACCGCACCTCAAATAAGTGCTGTCTCCAAATCACCCGGACCTTCTCAAGGACTTCTGCAGGAGATCAGCTCTCACAATTACACTGTAGACTTCTTTATAGACTGTGTGACTGGTGCTACAGTAGATAATCAAAGGCACTTTGGCTTTAAGAGGCCTTTGATTAAATTGCAGGCTAAATTTAATGAAGGGCCAATTGTAAGCTTTCATATCCGTTAAAGATAAAGACCGAAACTAGATCGAGAAACCCTGCCTGAAATGCATTAAATTAATTCGGTTGGTTTTATATCTTCTTCCTCGTGTCTACATGGTCATAGACTTCACTAAATAATTGTGATAGCGATTTACTGATTCAAAGAGAGACTATAAAAGGCCTGGAAAACAGAAGCACACTCAGATGTAGGCTGCTAGATCTCTAACCCGGGAAACAAACAGATGTGTCATGGTAATTAATGAAGACAGCTGAGCATGAAAAGTGTCCCAAGACACGTCTAGACAAGCCCCTGAAATCAGGCACTCATGTAAAACCAAAAGGGCATCGTGTTGCATAAAATGCGTTCACCTGGTTAGGCCAATACAAAAGGAAAAGCGTAAAAAATTAATGAGAAAAAAAGTTTTTTGCTTAATATGAAGGACATATAAAGCATTATTAGACTGCACAATTCAACCAGCAAACCCTCTTATTGTGCTAAATTTGCAATAAAACAGCAGCATGATACATATAAACATGACACCTGCAAAATACAGACAGTGTCAAACATGCCAAACTAGTCATTTCACAGAAACTTACAAACAAAACCACTAAAATAACCTTATAGTAGATAATGTTGTTGTTAAAGTAATCATATATATTAATTCTGGTCTTTTGAGGACATTGGTCACAAGTTGTTACAGTTTTAACTGTAACTGTGTTACTATGGTTACATTTTTTATTTTTTTATTTTTTGATGGAGAGCATTCTCATTATACCTCATAATCATTACTATAACTGTATTTTAAGACCACGTTTTAACATTTTAGTGTAAAATAAACTTACAACTAATGCTAAATGTTGAATTATTGTTAGACTGGAAATTGTAACTAAACAAAGGCATATTTGAACTGAACGCCTCAATCTTGTGAAGTCTAAACACTCACAGTCATTTTTCTCCTGTCAGAAAACATTTCAATAAACACTTATTAATGTAAGTGAATTCTTAGCAAAACTAAAGAGTGGAAACACATAACGTCCCGCTAACGTTAGTGTTCGGTTGCCGTTTTAGTAACCGTTTCCTAAAGTTCCATAACATAAATTGAAAAATAAATGTTCGATATTAACGTTCTCATAACGTTCCAGGAACAAAAAAAAACAAAACAAAAAACGTTAGCAGGTTAACGGTCCTGAGAGAATTAAACCTCCTCAGAGAAATCAAACCGTCACAATAAATAATATTTCATATAGGTTATATCTTCGATGGACTACATTAATTCATACACACCGATCTTTCTGCAAACGTTCGTTTACTTCATTCATTAATACCAAAACGACGACTAGTTCACTTGTTTACACTGTAACGTTACACGAGTGACGCGACGTGCCAAACTACTGATGAGTTCTGGACGCGCGCGATTATCCTATTATATTCAACATAGCGGCTCTCCGTTTATTATAATACAAGAGTTCAGAGCGACACTTTCTGCCCGTATGAACGGAACCCATCTCACCGTATTTGTTGGGTTCTCTGCTGCAGTGGCGTCATGCCCATTCAAAGTGAGGGGGCACGTGCCCCCTCAGATTTTTCCTCCCTGATAATTTTTTATTTCTTCAGTCTTGTTAAAATCAGATTCAGCGCGTTGTTCATCTTCAATCCGCAGCGGTGCCGAGCAGAGCGCACGTCAGAAACAGAGGACAGGGTGTGTGTGTGTGTGTGTGTGTGTGCGTGCGTGTTCATCTGAGCCTCATTGGTCTGCCACTGCTCGTCAATGTCAGAATATTTGAGATGACGAATCAAATCAAAGTAGGCGGGCTTTATGTTCACAGAAGCTGAGCGCGAATTTTAGCAGTGAGACTCGACCGGACTCGACGCTTCAGTGTACAGTCAAGTGCGAGATGTAAGTAGCTAAACTAAACATTTCATATTTGACAGTTTTTTTAGTTCATAAATGTTAAACGAATGACAAAAATAATCAGGCACACGAATATACTTTTGTCTAATTTCACCATTTTGAACTGAAAATAGGCCTATATAACGTGACTCGTAATGTAGGCTAATAGTTTACTGTCATTGTGAGGGGAAAAGACGTTTTCATTGTTAGGCACAAGATTAATAATGAATGTGTACATATTGAGAATTAATATAGTACAATTTGTAGCCTTAAGTAAATTAAAAAAGCTCAGCTTTAGGAGGGGAAGGCAAGATCAGGAGACTGAGAGAAAAAGAAAGAGTGATGGATAAGAAGTGAGAGCAGGTATTGACAAATAATCTGCCCACTGACATGGTTTTAAAGCTATTTCTTATCCTTTTTTTGGCCTTCAAACGTCTTGAAATGCACATATCAGAGAAATAAAACATTTGAACCCCCTACCCACCTCAAATTTAGGACCTCTGTGATTAAAGCCCTGTCTACGGCCCTGTATTAGGCATAAGATCAATAATGAATGTGTACTGTGAATGAATTTAATAAACTTAGTTAGGCTACCTAGCTTTCCTAGTAGCTTTCAGTAAATAAATTCGTCTGAGAAAATGATTCATAAATCAACCTATCAGTTGACCCTATGTTTACTTTCTTCACTGACAGACAAAAATGAAAAGCCTATCAGTCAAAGCTCAACTTTAGAAGTTGTTTTGGCCTTCAAAACATCTTATAATGCACATATAATATACACATATACTTTAACTTAGTCCTCAGATAGAGGAGGGTTGCTGCTAGCTCCGTTAAGGTATTTCTGTCCCTCCCAAACTGCATTGAAATAGTATGTTTCGCAGCCAGAATTAAAAAAATTTCAGGGGGAGAAACCCCCTGACCCCTCCTAACATGATCCATATCACCCGTCAGAAAACAATTGCAACGTCTCAGATGGTGCCCCCCCAGAATTTTGGCTTGCATGACGCCCCTGCTCTGCTGTACTGGAGGATGGGCACCGACCCCCGCCGCTCCGCGCGCTCGCCCTCACCGACACCGGCGTCAAACACCGTGTCTCCGTCCGTTTCGTCTCCAAACGCGCTCTCATGCGCGGCCACCGGCACGACCCTGAACCTCTCGCTCATGTTGGTCGTCCGTGGGTCGGACCTGTCCGGTGTCTGATAAACTTCAGGGATCAGACGGCTTACGCCCGTGATTCATAGCCGGTAATCTGACAGTTTGTGAGGGCGCGCGCACAGAGGCGTGAATGTGTGTGAGGCGCGTCCGTGCAGAACCCGCTGCGCTCATTGGCTGAGAGCTGAACGGGGCTTCGTATAAATAACAGAACCATGCTGGAGATCACAGTTTGGGATTTAAAAGTGCTCACAGTCACAGTCCCATCAACTTTTAAAATTAATAAATTGCATTGAGCCATTTCAAGATCAAGTACAATGTTAAGCCATTGTTTACAAAAAACACATTTTATTAATTAATGTCATTAATGCCCTGTTAATGTTTATATAATATGTATGTATGTATGTATGAAGGTCTATGTACTGTATGTATGTATTTATGTATGTATGAAGGTCTATATGTACTGTATGTATGTATTTACTATTTATATATTTATGTAGCCTATGTATGTGTGTATGAAGGCATGTATTTATGTATCATGTATGTATGTATGTTTTATAGATTTAACAAAGCAAAAAAAAAAAAAAAGAAGTTTGCCAGGACAATCACTGCTGTTTATGAGACCAAATTATTTTCATTGAAAGAAAAACATTTCAGCTTATTTTGGTTCAGTATGTTGACATTTGTAAGGTTTTTTTTTCCAATTATGTTATTTTTTTCAGTGAATGATAATTATTTGTGGACTGGACAAGCTCTCGCTAAATGATAAACACAGATATGTGAGCAGTTAGCAGCTAATTGTTATGATGAAAAGTATTTTTTTATTTAATGTTTATGACAGACTTGGGATTTCCTGATGTTCTCTAGTGTTTTATATAGCCATCTGTCTGATATAAAGTCATATTCACATGAGCCTGTGGCTTCATAACATCCACTTTCTGTTTCCCTCTTGTGTCGTGTGTTTTCTCATAGATACGGATGAGTAACTCATATGAGGAGTTTCAAACCTACAGCAGCAGCTCTTCACACACAACATGAGGAAGAGCTTCTGTTAATGATGAGACTGATGATCAGACTTTGAGTCACAGAGTTATTATTTCCACAATATCACATGAAGTAAAGACACTACTTATTTAAAACAACATTCTATTAAACTCAGCATATCTTTGTTACTTTTTCTCATCCGAGTCTGTTTTGAATCTCTTCATCCATAAGATTAAATGAAGACACATTTTATCATGGTTCTGTCAGCTGGAGAAAACAGGCTTTTGTCACCCATGATCAGGATTATTATATTTATTAAACTTTGGTTTGATTTGAGATATGCAAAATCAGAATCCCACACATATCAAATAACTGGATGATCTGGGTCTTGTTGTGCCCTCATATATGTTTAGTTGTTAGCATGTTTTCTTCAGTTGTGTGAGTTCAGTCCTCAGCATTAACTGTTCCAGTCTCTCAGGCTTTGTTTCAGCTGCTGTGGGATATTTTAAGAGACGGACAAAGTGGGACGGGATGATGGTAAATGGTAAATGGACTGCATTTATATAGCGCTTTCACAGACCCAATGGCCACCAAAGCGCTTTACAATTTGCCTCACATTCACCCATTCACTCACCCATTCATACACCGACGTTGATTCACATACTGACACTGACCAACACAACACACACTAGTGGAGATGAGACACACTATTCTGACATGAAATACTGCACAAATACTGATTAACCTCAAACAAATATAAATAAAACACTAAACCTAAAAACAAATATAATAAAAATGTATTATTATTTTATAAAATCTATTATATGACAGGACTGGATTGTGAAAAATGTCTCAAGTTCACAAGAAGACATATGATTGATAATACATTCATAACAATTTGGGTTCCTCGTTTCTATATTGGCAGAACTCTTTGGAAAACCTGTAACCTTTACAGAGAGGGCAGTTCTCTGGATTTACCATGAATACAGACAATATACGGATCCAAAATCAATCATTTTTTATCAATATTTTTTAACATCGTTGTTCTTTTTTTTTTTTTCAACATGATCTACTGTACATTCAGTACATTTTTGACGTTGAATGTCAGTTTCATTCAAATCCAACGGATAGCTGAAGATGTAGTGAACATATAATTAAATAATACTGTAAGGAAGACTGTAAATCATCTGTTTGGATGATTTTGACAACCATTTGAAGCCAAAGTTTGAATCAGATGAACAATAGTGTATTTGAATAAAGTGTTTGGTCAATTCTTTTTGTGGTTTTGAATTTGCAGTTATAGCTTTAAGAAATGTGTTAAAGGTTTAAGGAAGTGTGTCTTAGCAATTAAGCTCAAATAAACATAAAAAATCTGCACTAAAACTAATTAAATTAAATGTATTAATAATGAGACAAATGTGATACAAGTGAAAGCATTTCATATTATTTCTTTTTTTGTATTCATAAGAAAATCAATGATCTAATAAACATCTGAGCCTCAAAAATGTCATATAAGTCCAGATTTATAGTCCAGTAAAGTTTTTATTAAAGTCATAACACAACAGTCTCTCAATATATTTCATGAGGCCGCTAGGTGGCAGTGCTTAGTATTACAACTAACAGTTTCTACAGCCACTGTTTAATGCACATCGTTTCCCAAAACACACAAATTATATCTATTTGTTGATTTTACAATATAATAATGTTGTCTTGATTTACAACAGTATCTTACTGCAGAAACTCTTTGCATTATGCTGCTGTCAATTTCATATAGCAAGAAATTACAATAATCAATATAGTAGCCTATTTGACATTTGCTTATTTAGCAGATGCTGTTTATTAAGCAACTTAAAAAGGAGAAAAATACAGGGATTTTCAGGATCCTTATGATTATTATTTTCAGGATCAATATGATTATTTGATGCTCAAGAAACATTTATGATTATTATCACAGTTGAAAACAGTTGTGCTGCTTCATATTTTTGTGCAAACTGTGATTTTTTTTTTCAGGATTCTTTGAAAGTTCAAGAGAAAAGCATTTAATTAAAAAAGAAATATTTTGCATTATTATAAATGTCTTTACTGTCACTTTTGATCAATTTAATGCGTCCTTTCTGAAGAAAAGTAATGTAACTGTTCCTATAAAATATATATATAAATAAATATATATCTATAAACAAGCTGGTTGGTTTATGATAATGTGGTAGAACCAACATAGACATTCTTTTCACATCCAAAACTTGTTTGATGTTGTTGCAAACTTATGCATTATTTTTATGAATCCCAGAGCTCTGTGTTTGTCTTCTCCTGCTCTCTTCTTGATGTTTTCCAGTATTTCAGCTTTTTCAGACTCATTCATTTCCTTCATCTTCTCAACCAGAAAATCAACATGTTGGAGTGTGTTCAGTGAATCAGTGTTGAGTGCGATCTTCTCCATAGTATTCACACAGTGAAAAGCTTCAATCACCAGCTTTACTTTCTCTTTCTGTAATTTTTGCAGTTCTTCTTCCAGCTTCTTGACCAAAGACTCACCGTCAACAATTTTGTCATAATATTTCTTCTTTAAATCTCCATTTGCCCTCTTCTCCTTCTTTGTTGCATATATTTTTGCTTCTTTGACGTGTTTGCTGTAGTGGCATTTATTTGTGCACACTGTACAGTGATTGTTTCTCATCACAGTGGACCAAGAGAGATTTCTGGTCCACCAGGAGTCTAGATAGTGACAGTTCTCCTCACAGACGCTGCAGCACATCGCCACACTGGCTTTAGAGAGATCAATATCAACCTTCTCTTTATAGGACACGTCAACTTCATACTCAAAGTTCTTATTGTTTTTGACATGTTCCTTGTCCTGCTTTAGTGCTTTTTGAGTTTGTTTCAGCTCATTTAGCTTTAGTTCTGTCATTTGAACTCGTGCTTTTAGATGAAATATTTGCCTCCAGCTGTTTCCGTATCTGCAACACATCTTGAGTCATCTTCAGGGATTTCGGTTGTATTGTGTAGAGAAACTTGAACAATCCTGCCATTCCTCTAAAACTGAGATTCCATGATTGATCCTGTATCATTTCATCTTCTTCATCATCAGCTTCTGACTGACAGTTGTTAAACAGGAAATACACCGGCTGATTCTGTTCATTCACTGCACACTTGATTTTAGCCTTTTTAACAGCCGTCAAAGCAGATTTAGGTCGAGCTCCAGATGAGTGTGTGAAGAGAAAATATTGTCTTTCATCAATATTACTTCCTAACAAAGACTGAACAGCATCAAATATGTACATCTGTCTGTCAGAGAGTCGATTCTGTGATGCTTTAATCACCAGACACACTGCGTCTATTTCATTGATTCCTGCAGATTGAATTAAGCTAAGGAAACTCTCAGCGATCTCTTTATCTTTCTCAACTCCACGAGTGTCTCCATATCCTGGTGTGTCGATGATTGTTAGATCAGTTTTACTCTCTTGTGGATAAAACCCATAAACAGTGATGCTGGAGGTCTGACTGTGAACTGATGTTCGGTCGCTCTGATCATCTGTGATCTCAAACCAAACCTTGTCTTCTCTCTGAACATCTAACATGTAGTTGATCATAGTGTTGATCAGGGTTGTTTTTCCTGTTCCTGTTTCTCCCACTATCAGAATGGTTTTATGGGGTTTGGTTTTGTCTCTCTCTCCAAAAGTCATTTTTCTATATGGTTCAGATTGATCAATATTGTCTGTCTTTCTTTGCAGACGATATCGAGCAGGATTTCCATCTTCAATTAAGATGCTTTTCTTGATGAGATCATTTTTGTTCTGTATGTAAAGCATAAAAACACAATAACAATAAAGATGGTCATGCATACATTTTGTACAATCTCATATTTTGAAATCATCATCAAATTATAAAATGTTCACCAACATCCCTGATATAATAAAGGCCCTTTCACACAAATCAACCAAGAAAAGATAAGCATTACACATTTATTATTTGCCATTCCCCCAAACATGCTAAATGATAGATTAGAATTGATTTAATGATTTCTGTTTTGTATACTTTTGTAATTAAATTCTTTGTTAGTTCATTTGCATCCCACACGTCTTCTGTGAGGCTAGTTTACCTGTTACCTACAAGAGAAACCTAAAATAGCCCTTTAATGAGATTCTATCAGCAATGCTTCTCATGAACATCAGAACAGTGATTGTGTTGGAGGATACAAGTCATGTGAAACGCCTCTTCAGCTGATATTTCATGAATGTGCATCATACACTTCACACTTACATACAATTAGAGGGAGTAAAGTTTAATGCGTATGTTGCGTGCTGTCCGGTGGGAGGGCTCCGAACACGTCCCGTATTGTAAATGATTAGGACTAGGGCCCCGTCCACACTACTGCGTTTTCTACGTTTGCACCTCCCGTCCACACTAAAACGGCTAAAACGGAGAAGTTTAGAAACGCTGCCGATCCGTTTTTCGTTTTGAATCTCCGGAGGGCGTTTTAGTGTAGACGGGTCAAAACGGAGGACTTAGAAACGATGACGTAGTAGAGGCTCACGCTCGGCTCTATGATTGGGTGTCATCAGTCATGGCGTATATCTTTGCTAGCAGCTGTTGTACAAGTAAATTCTGCATTTTACAACGCTATAACTGCCTACATGCGCCGGAGTCAAGCTATTATTCGAGCGATCTGTGACAATTCCCGTGTGCAGCCGCGGCGTTGACCGTACATGGAGCGTCGGTTTGGGGTTAACCCAGAGCATGGTGGGATAATTTTATCAATGAAGTTGTGTTTACACCGGCACACGCATGCCCAGTGTTGGTGAATGGTCACGTGATCCGCGTTTTCAGTCGTTTTAATGTGGACGGAGATCAATTCTAATACGCAGCTAAAACGCTGGTGTGGACGGAGATCGTATTCGTTTTAATTATCCGTTTCTAAACTAAAACGCAGTAGTGTGGATGGGGCCTGTGGAGGGGTGCTGCTAAACTGTCAATGAATTCAGGTGAGACTGCTGAGTCTATATACACCTCTTATCTGTTAATTATCTGAGCGTGCTCCTCCCAATCTTTCTAAATAAAACATAATTTAATGATATAGTAAAAATATGTAGCTGATAATGAATGTTCATCATACCTTTATGATAATTGTGATGACATCAGATTCACTGATGTAGTTGAGTTTTCCCACCGCTGCACATTTAATATTGTACTCAGTATCTGGTCTGAAATCAGTCAGAGTAACTGTTTTCTGGTTCTTTGACACAGTTTGAGATGTCCAGTCTTTCTCTTCCTTCATTTTGTACAGTAATTTGAGCTCCTCTGTATCAGGACCCGGTGGAGACACTTTCAAATCCACTTGTCTATATCTGATATCTTTAATCTTTAATGATCGGACAGTCTGGTTTTGATGGAGAAGTGAAGCAAACAGCTTCATTACATCCATTTTTATACAGAAGAATGCAGGAACCTGGATTATTTTCATGGTATTTTAGGGAAACCATAAATTTACTGCTTTGACTGCTATATAACGTCATCAGCACCTTAAAGAGCATATTGCAGGTTAATTTTTTTTTTAAATTAGTATATAACCTTGTATGAAAATACCATATGAAAAGGTAATGCAGGATTTAAAATGTTTTAAAACGACATAAGGGCACAAATTTAGTAGATAAAGTGAGCGTTTCTTTGACTGCTCGTAAAAACCGCTTTTTTTTCAACATCGCGTCATTTTACGTCACGAGAGGGAGGGAGCCTCAGCAGCGCAGATAGGTTTGTATTCAGTAAGAGCGGGTAAATTTGCTTTTTTATACTCAGAATGACAATTTGGAATGTAAAGAACAACATATTATACAGTTATTTGTTTTATTAGGAAAATACCACATAGGCCTACATAAAAAGAATTGGGCTTTTTTCACATTTTATAAATGACTTCACATTATTGTCACAGTCTTCGTCTGCACCTGTCTGTCTTAGTCATCTTCACTACACTTCCCAGAATCCTTCTTGTCTCCACACCTGTATTCACTCCCTCAATCATCCACCTGTTCATCGTCTTAATCATCTATGTCACCTGTCTTCACCTCGTTAGTGTTCATTTGGACTTGTATTTAGTTTGCCTGTGTTCAGTCTGTCTTTGTCGGTTCTCGTCTATGTTAACTGGTGTTTGCATCCGCTCTGTCTGCCTGTACCTGTTTGTTGTTTTGATTTAGTAAAGTTTATTGTTTATTTGAATTCCTCGTCTCCTCGTGATTCCTGCCATACACCACCCGTGACAATTATAGCTATGTACATCTTTTTGGAACAAACTAAAAACAAAAAAGCAATGAAAACATGTAATACTTTGAAAGCACTGGATTTTATGTAAAACTTTTTTTGTATTTTTTATTTCCTGGCAGCTAATGTTAATGTGATATTGTGAATATGTAAAACCTCTTGTTATTGTGGCATCGAATTAAAAAAAAAAAGTCAGTAAGAGCGGTCATGAATTAGTGTTTTCGGTAGTTAGGGTTATCATCGTCATGGTAAATTATTGTGTTTGTGGAGGTTGCAAAAACTCCGGCCTGTCAGGACATCGAGTCCACAGGTTTCCTAACAGGAAAAAGGACCTGAAACTTCGTGCCTGTGTGTGGTTTGTGCAGCTGTAGAGACGGGATTTCTCCGCATCTGTTTCGAAAAACGCGATCGTGTGTAGCATGGCCTACTTCAGATCGGAGGAACAAAAAACGTGTATATCAGGAATAAAAATATCTCTCTGTCTCTCGATGAGAAACAGCTGAGTTATATCACGTAACGTTAGTCTGGACGGATATTAATGAGCATGACATACGCGCCTGATCAAAGCTTATAGTTTCTGTTATTGGTAAATTCCAATACTCCTAGATGACCAATAATAGCTTTGCTATTAACTGATATAGCCTACGATGGTAATAATCTGTACAATATTGTGAGCACAATGTATATCGTTAGCGAACGTGTATAGGCTATAGGCCTACCTATAGCAGTGGTCTCTCATCACGACACCTGCCGTTCTCAGTGGCAGCGTTTCACAAACCTAGAGTATGGCATTCCCCTCTGTGCATGTAGAACAACGACATTACCGAACGATACACCTCACATTTTACCAAACAGAATGAACGATGCACTATTAACTCTATTACACTATTAATTAAAACTCACAGTGAACAGCATTAAATATAAAAACACATATGCCTTACCTTTTTGTTGCAGTGCAGTTTTTATTGCAAGTGGTATAATGTTTTGCCGACAGCATACAGTCCTCATTTTTTTATTGATGCTTCCATTCTTCTGATTGCTATTATTTAATTTCTTCGTTAAAAAACATACAGGGAAGATAGGCCTGTTTCTTTTAATGTTTACTCAGTATCTGACAGCCAGGCTAATCAAAAAGATGCGCGATTAAGTGATGCAATAAACTGCGGTTGCGCGCACACTCACTCCACGCAAGTTTTTTTATAATAATACTTTTGCAATAATGTGTGTCTCCTCTGATCGTTGTTCTGTCTAACATTAATCCTGGCCTGTCCCTAATTAACATAATTGTATGACTGTGGCATAGGCGGAGGGTGAACCAACTCCAGGGTAAGGCTATTATGTGCGCTTCCCCTTGAAGCATTTAAATAGATTTCCTACCACCTATATAACCATATAGTTTTAACCAACGTGTCGCCTAGCAACAACTTAAACGTCCCAGTATAAACGCTCCCGTTAACTAATTTATTAACGCAAACGTTTACAAACTGTTAATTTGAGCAAAAACAACAAGCAGTAGGCCTAGGCTACTGTATGCCTGGCAGCCAATATAAATAAACATTGCTTTACCTTATGCAGCAAAATCCTGCGTTTAGACCTGGCATCATATGCGTTGATGATGTCCTCTCAATTAGAGCTTAGATTCTCTGCCCGAGCCCGAACTTGACCCGACCCGACGATATTTCCCATTCTATTCTCGGGGCGGGCCGGGCCCTTGATCTAGAGACGTGCACTCCCGTCCCAACGCAATAGAGTGCGAGCGCGGGCGCGAGCGATATGCAATCACTCTGTGTGTTCGGGTTGCGCGGGAGAATAAAACGATAGGCTACGATTCAAACTAGAAATATCTATGAATAAAACATATAAAAACTAATACATTTTTATTCATCTGTTGCAGAAAAGCAACAAGAACAACTAAAACAAAATAGAAACGATTTAGGCTACAGGCCAGAGTTTCTATTTAGCTAACATGTTCGCAGCGTTGAGCGATGTAGCCAATCACAGACATATGTGTTGATTTCTTGAACGCAATGGCCAATCAGAAGCATTTAAGATAGACTCCCCTCACCGCTCAAAACGGACTTTTTGTTCAGTGCTGAATTCTGTATGCTGGTAAATCCTCTAAAAATTATAACAAACTAAGTGTAGCCTATATTATGAAAGATTCATTGTGCAGTCAGCTTCATTGATAATAACAGAGTTGTGTGAGATCGCGATGAACTGATGTCAGCTTTTTAGGAATTATTAAGGGAGCGCACTTTGCTTGCTTTTATGTTATAACAGTGGTTTGTGTGTTAATGCTTTAATAACAAATAATTTATCAGGAGCATTTATGCTGATGTGTATGGTGGCGACCCAGCAAGCAGCCGTCATTTCAACGTCTCGGTTAAATATAGACCCGATATAGTCCGGTTATGTGTAACCCACTTTTAGCCCAAATAACATTTAAAGCTGCTGTCCGTAACTTTTTTGGGTTAAAAATTATCCAAAATAATAATAATAAAAAAAAACATAACCAGCCAGTGTTCAAAAATATCTGCTTGCTTTTGCCCGATTCAAAACGGTTAGCTTGTAATAATGATTTTAATTCCAGTGGTACTGGTGGATTTCCGCGGGAAATTCGAGCATGTCTTTGCGTCATTACGTCACATCTGTACACATAAAGAAGGCGGCCCGGCTAGAAGGCTATATTGCGTGAGGATGTTGGAGGTGGACATTTTTAGCCTTTTCTCACAGCATTAAATAATTAAACTTATGGCGGATCCAGAAAGGTTCAAACGACAATCACCAGTGACAACTGGACATTCACCACTTGTAAAACCCCAAATAATTCGGACTTCGGAGTGGGTAACGTTAGAGAAAAAAGAGACTGCAACTGGCCCACGCGAAAACAAGGATAAACATCGGTTCAAAACGGACGCAGAGACGGCTTTTTTTCTTTTAGGACAGGTAAGACATTTCAATACTTCAATCGTGTAACAGTAGCACACTTGTTCGCTTAATTCACACAGTTACGGAGTTTCCTGTCTTTATTCGTTTAACGTTAGCTATTATGGTAAATATTTTGTGCTAGCTATGAGAGGGAGCAATTCACCTCTACTCCAAGCAAACCAAACCGGCCTCCTCCGAAATTATATATAGTTTTAAATATGCATCGGATTACAGATACGTGTTTTTTTTTCTTTTCTTTTTTTCTCAAAGAAAACCAGTAAAGAAACATTAATTTATTGGTATGACAATTAGAAATTAGACTGCACATAAATAGAAACTGAACTACAGGGTAATCATAATACACATTAAATGTAGTCACAATGCTGATGTTGATAATTTGAGAACAAAGTATAATTTGAAAGGTTTGACGCGATCGTTATATTTAATCAGCACGATTTACTGCAAGGCTTTCCCCCCTTAGTTGGTGTGGATGTTACTTACTTGTTCAGATGACATTTTCCGATGAAAATTCGTATGTTGTCATGGTCATACTGTAGGCCTACTTCCAAAAGTAGAATGTGTGATTCTGAATGCCAGTTTCCACATCGGCGCGGTGACTGACAGACTCGCAGTCTCAAAACATTGTGTTCATCCGCGCTGTTTCATGCCGATGTGCAACTCACGCAAAGTTAATAATTCCGCGAATAACTGCAATTACAGATTTCAAACAGAGATGGCGACAAAGAGGAAAAATGCCGGACTGCAGCTTTAATCTGGATAAATTATTTTTTTTCCAAAATAACTTGTGAGATGTATGATATTCCATCATGTAAGCAAAGTCAACTGTGATTACAAGGTGTTTGGTTTGCTTTATTTTACATGTTATATATGTAGGCTGTGCGTAGCCACGATTTAGCTGTATTCAGACCCGGCTATAGCCCACTTATAATCAAAACTGAGTAATTGTAGTTTTTTGCCAGGCAGTGCATGAAATGGTTGATATTCCATCATGTTCGCATTGGTAATGATATCCGCAAGGTTCAATGTGTCATTTCACGACATGGTCGATCTGTAGTCACGATTTAGCTTCGAATTGGACGGGCTATGCGGTCTATTTAGCCCACCTGGCGAAATCAAAGCAATCTGGTCTGCGTACGGCTTGGCTATAGCCATGATTCATACCAGCGAAATAGTATAAGAATATTAGTCTTAAAAATGTTTTTGCTCACACAGCTTAATGTTTGCTGCCTGTCACACATAAACATAACATTCATACACAATCTACGATATGACTGTCTATCATTTCAAATTAAATCAAATGCAATTGCATTTCTCAACCGCTAGATGGCACAATCGAAACACTACTGAGACATGACTACTGGGACTACTGGCGGCATTGCGCGACTAGATCACTTTAACCAGATCTCGCGATAAACATTTCTGCCATTTTCAATTTTATTTTACACGAGGCAGCTGTCGGAGAGCAACGGGCGAGCGACACTCTGAAAACCTTCAAATGTATATCTTGTAAGTATGCGTGTTATTTTTGTTATGTTCATTGTTTAAATAAGTTAGTTGTTATAATGTGTAGAAACCGTGACATTTTAACATTACCATTGCAGAGTAGGCTACTATTTTTCTGCAACAAGTTAACGTTACCTGCACGTGTTTTTGCAACTGTGTGCCCTTAATCTAAAATGAATCTAAATTCAAGGTGGTAAGCATGAAACTATGAAACTTATCATTACTATTTTATTTGTATTATTATTAAAGATAGCAATATATTTTTGTTTTTAGATTAGAGTAAGAAATAATAGGTTTTGATTTAATGCAAATTTTCAAAGTATACTTTACATAAAACTTAACAGGAACATGAAAAGAAATTATAAAAAAATATATTTTTTCCTTTCCAATTAATAAAAGGTAGTGGCAAACAGTAAAGTCTTTAAACTTGATTTAAAAGAATTAAAATATGCAGCATACATTCAGTTTTCAGTGAATTTGTTTCAGATATATGGTGCATAAAAACTGAATGCTGCTTCTCCATGTTTTCTTTTGACTTTGGGGATATAAAAGTAGCTGGCTACTGTCCCAGGTGACCTGAGAGGTCAGCTTTGGATGGTTCATAATGCATCAGAAGATTAGAAATTTACTTTGGCCTTAATTTAATTTTTTATATTAATTTATTAATATTGATATAAATTGTCTATATTGATATAAATTATATAGTCTCAATCTATATTCCATAAACTCTATATTGGCCAGCTCTAGTGTGCATCCTAGGAAAAGTGAATGACTGTAATTAGTTAAAAATGATTGTCAACAATGCTTTTCTTGAGCAATAATTTTTTTCTTTTTCTCATTTGGCAGACGCAGTGTTGACCAACTTTCCTTCGGCGACTGAATGGGAAATAAAAAATGCAATTTCTGGTCATTTTAAACAAGCACCAGGGAGAGCAGGGGGTGGTGGTTATGGATATAAAGCTAACAATTAATTCTTAAAATTTTTAGTATCTTAAGTTGTTTTACATATTTTCCTATTTTTTTATTTGTTCATTTTTATGTTTGAATGTTGTCTAAGTTGTTCATATAATTGTTCTAAATAAATTCTTTATATTCAATTAGTTTGCTTTGGATGGATTTTCATTTATGAGAACCTGTTGTATTTGAGTGAAAAGAATCCTTATGCCTCATTTTGTTGTATATGTAGGCTAGTGTAATTGATGACTAGTCTATTCTTGGGCTATGGTTAGACGTCTATTAGATTTTCACTGACAGCCCAAAATTAGCCTTGTTTTAGCCTAGACCCATATTGCCTGTCTATTAGACGTATATATGTAGTCGTTTAATATCTGTCTAATTGATGACTAGTCTATTCTTGGGCTATGGTTAGACGTATATATGTAGTCATTCAATAGCTGTCTATTCTTGGGCTATGTTTAGACGTCTATTAGATTTTCACTGACAGCCCCAAATTAGCCTCGTTTTAGCCTAGACGTCTGGGCTGTGTTTTGACGGCTATTAGACGTCTATTAGACGCAAAATTGCTTGCTGGGGACACGTAGGCTAACTTGAAAGTATTTGGAGGTAGCCTACAGGAAAAAAGTCTATTGCGGGCGGAAGCGGGACAAAACATAAATGTTGCGGGAGGGAGAGAGAAAGTAACATAGAAAGTAGTTGAGAACGTCAGTTATAACGACCCACGTATTAAAAAATGGTCGGGTTTAAATCGGGCTTGGGCTCATACAGTTAATGTATCGGCCGGGCTCGGACACAACGTGCAAATGAATGAATTTGTATTTAAAGTGATCACAATTTAATAAAAACATTGCAATTTATAAATTATATTGCTTTCATTTATTTAAAAATTGTTTATCGAAAAAATGCATAAATCCTGCATAAATGAATTATCACTGCGCGTGCGCACGGCGCATGATTGAGACGCCACATCAGGTTTCTTCTGAGGATTTCTCATCATTTGAGGATTCATGTAATTTTCTTGCTCATTAAGCAACTCATCCGGCTGCTCAAGAGAACTGAAAGTGTAACAAAACACATTCTCCACCTGAATATCAGACAAATATGAGTCCAAGCTTGTGTTCACTGCGGCTCCAAAGTCCATTAACTGTCGAAGAAACTCATTAACGGTGTTTAATTCATTCTCTTTTACTGTGATCCACTCTTTCAGACTCTTTTCACTGAATGGAGACTCATCATGAGCTTGAAGAAGATCCATCAGAGCACAAGACTCTTTCCCACAGGCTTTAACTGACTGGATCACAGATTTAATTCGGTCACTGAAATCTTGTCGATACTTTTGGCAGTTTTGCAGCATATCTAGTATTTTCTTATGAAGTGCACTAAAAGTTGTTTCCCTGTTTTTTCCCAAAAGTACACTACACTTTTCTTCAGTCCAACTGAGATTGATGATAGCAGACTCTTTGGCCTTGATGAGATCCTGGTTTATGACCGTGAGACGCGTCACATCACTCTCTACGGTGTAGTCGAGTTTTCCCACCGCTGCACATTTAATATTGTACTCAGTATCTGGTCTGAGATCAGTCAGAGTAACTGTGTCCTGGTTCTTTGACACAGTTTGAGATGTCCAGTCTTTCTCTTCCTTCATTTTGTACAGTAATTTGAGCTCCTCTGTAGCAGGACCCGGTGGAGACACTTTCAGATCCACTTGTCTATATCTGACATCTTTAATTATTGGACAGTCTGGTTTTGATGGAGAAATGAAGCAAACAGATTCATTAGATCCATTTTCATACAGCAGAATGCAGGAACCTGGATTATTTTTCATTTCTTTTGATGCAATAATGAATTTGACTGATTTGCTGTTATTTAAATCAATCAAGTGTTTAAATACCCTCAAGTTGTTCCTCATCGTCTTTTGGATGTCAGGCGTGAGCCAAGTCTTGTGTTCGGGTTTCTCCTCATTTCTCTCTTTTGTTGAAGGACTCAGGAAGGTCTTTTGTTCAGAAAGCAGCACATCTGTCCAGCTCAATGATGTGAAAGTGTAGCTGACCAAATGTTTAACTTCCAGATTCATTAAATTTTTTTTGAGGTTGTTTTCTACCATTGCTCCTGAGTCATTCAGTTGTGTGAGCAATGCTTTAATAATGTCAGATTCTCCCTCTTTCTCTTTCAGCCATTGTTCAAGAGCGCTTCTTTCAAATGGAGATTCCTCATGATCTCGTAGAAGATCGATCAATGATGTGTCCTCTATGAATTTTCCACGGATGTTTGGTAAGAGAGAGCCGAGTTTCTTCATGAGACTCAATCTGCACTGGTAGCAGTTTTTCTTCATGTCATTGATTTTGTCATGAAATGCAGTAAATGTGGAAGCTGGCGTGTCTGTCAGAAGATCACTGCATTTCATCTCAGTCGTACTCAAACTCTCAATTACTGATTCAACTTCTGAGCTTAAACCCATGCTGATTGCATGTTGAAACTTTACAACTCTTGAGAAAAGTTTATCCAAAGGATAAAGCCAAACTCTCAGAGGAACCGCAAGCTCTTTGTTTTCTCCCAGCAGTTTTGGAAGATCTTCAAAAACCTTCATAGCATCTTCAAAAGTGGTCGGGTTACGTGATAGCTGGAAGTCGCCATAAAATGTACACTTGAATTTTTGGGCAGCGGTCTTCAGATTGTCATTCAGATTAATGTTTGCACCGGCTGAAATGCTGATTAGCTTCCCAAAGACAGCTTCTACATCTACGTCTATCACTCTCTTGTCCTCATCTGATAAAACATTTCTATCAAACACAAAGCATGCGTCTGCTCCGTACAGCACTGCGGTCACTACATGTGTGGCGACGCCATCGTCATAGTGAGCCATGTCTCCAGAAGCAAAGTGGTTCATGATCAGTTCTTCAAACTTACTGGTGGAATGATAATGTAATGTCAGTCTCTGTTGATTGAATGATCTCTTGGTGTCCTTGAGATAATTAGCAGCTCCAGTTACACTGATGAGTCCTCCTAAAACACTCAGTTTCAGACATCCATCAATATTGAGCAATCTAGACTTTTCCTCAATCGAGTCTGAAGCGGTGACTGTGAAAACTGTATTGATTTGGGGTTTAGTGCTTATGTTCTGCTCATTACTCCAAAGTCTGATTCCTGTAATGGAGAAAAATAAACAATTTATAACTAAATACTTTATACATTAATAAAACAGCAATTTAATCTGCCCCTTCAAGGCAACCTTCATTTTCTCCCAGCAGAGTAATACCAAAAAAAAAAATGCTTGCCCCATTGGTCATTCTCTTCCATTTATTTTTATATTTATTTTTATATTTATTTACATAAATTACAGGTGAATCGCTAAATATAAGCAACATTTGTGGATTATCACATAAATTGTGGTTGTGGGCTGGAGGAGAACTGGAGCGAATAGCCCTGTTTGATTATTTCCAGAGCCATGAGAAAGAGTTGCGACACGCTTTGATGTCGCCGCGACGGCTGTCACGTGGTTCATGTAAGCCCCAATAGTTCCAAAACATACGCTGGCTGTCATGTTCTTCTATGGACAGACAGCAGCGATTGCATTATTAAACGGTAGATATAAAATAAAACACACAGCCAAGTACTTTTTAAGCTGTTATTGCATTTTGTTAATGTCAGTTTTGCATTTGGAGAGGCAGGGTGACAACTTAGATAAGTTTTAGGCTATATTTTTGGAGGGAAAAGCTTAGTGTTCATGTTCGCAAGGGTAGTAGCACTGGCTTTAGCGGCTCTAACTTAACTTTTCCATGTCATTCATCTGATGATGGACGTCTCATGATATTTATTTTAGCACAACTGGGCTGTATTAGGCTATTGATTCCCGTGATCTTGCTTATAAATTCCGCTTCGTGATCACGCAAAGAGGTCTGCGGTCCGTTCAGAACTCCAACCAACATAAAATATAAATAATTACGCTGTGCATGTACAAATGAATGATTTAGGAGGGAAATAGACTGCTCCCATAACGTAGAAAGCAACGACTATATACAGCAATGTTCGGTAAATATTCAACCGAAAAATATTCTTCATAAAATTAAACCGGAGAGATAGTTAATGAGTGAATTAACTATGTTCCTAAATACATATAAGCACATATATGCATAACCCTAACCCATTTAAATAAATGAAGTGTGTGTGTGTGTGTATGTATAATATTATATATAGGCTATATATATATATATATATATATATATATATATATATATACATACATATAAAATTTTATTAAAAATATTCTATATTATACATCAGGTTACCGTAAGTAAGTTAGTTAGCGAAGTGTTGGTCACGTAAGCTATCGCTGCAATTAACCTATTATCTTCCAATAAACATTTACTAAAACTGGCTACATAAAATATAACTACAGACTAGATTCACGAGAGGTCGGCTAATGTGTGTAAAAGTAAAAAAATACAGTAATTTCATTAATTTACCAGCGAGGGTACTTCGGAAGCACTGAAAATGAATGGCGTTCAATGCTGGAACTATCAGTGTCTGGAACTATCGGCCGCTCCACGACACGCGTTACTTCCGCATTCCAAAGTTCCTATGGCGGTCTATGGGAGTGTCGCAACTCTTTCTCTCTATGGCTCTGATTATTTCTAAAACACAATCCGACACGGATCCGGGAACTGAACAGGGGGTTTGGAGGTAAACACATGGTCGCTTTGGGGGTGGTCTGGCCTTGGCAGGACTCAACCTCCTCCTGTTCATGCCCGAAACATCAGGGCTGCTTGGGATCCAGCTCCAGCCTAGGGGGTGGTCCCTGACACCTAGGAAGCGGATAGCGCTTAGCTGGACGGAAGAGCTGCTTCACCTTAGGTTACACTTTGGCCTGTGGCTGAGCGGGTGCAGGAGACTTGAAATGCTGCCGAGTCGATGACGACTTAGAGCGACTCAAGGCAGAGGAAGAACTGGCCCGCTTCAGCAAGAAGTGGGGCATCGCCTGCAACGACTGCAAAGCCATCAACTGCAGAACCAAATAGACCCGATGGAGGGAAAAGGGATGAGCCGGCCTTGGTCTTCCACCGAGGGCCGTGGGTGGGTAGAGGTACGTGAAGACGGCCTCTTCCAAAGAGGGAAGGTTGGTTTACCCTTTTTCTTCCATGCCATCAACCGAGGTGACGGCAGATGAAGAATAATAATGGACGCATGCTGAGTAGTTATTCATGGACTTCTGGGAAGAACAGGGTTGGCGGTGCCCCGGCTGCAGGAACCATTCATCGAGGCAGCTGTGGGCCGACCACTCCAAGCCCAACTCTTCTACAGCCTTTTACAGCTCAGCGGATGAGATGAGCTGTACAATGAGCTGTTTCTGTCTCTTCGGGGAAAAAAAGTAATTTGAAAGACTGGTGCTGGCCTGCCTGAGGGACATTACTGGACCCTTGCTGGACCCCCTGCAGTTTGCATATGAGGAAACAGGTCTGTGGATGATGCAGTCAACATGGGACTGCATTATATCCTACAACATCTCGACAAACCAGGGACTTCTGTGAGGATCCTGTTTGTGGACTTCAGCTCAGCCTTCAACACCATCCTCCCAAACCTCCTCCTGTTCAAATTAACCAAACTCTTTTTGCCCACCTCCATCTGTCAGTGGATCAGACATGCAGCAGCTAGTGAGGTTGGGGAAATTCTCATCCAGCACTTGCATAATCAGCACTGGCGCCCCCTAGGGGTGCGTTCTTTCCCACTGCTCTTCTCCCTCTACACCAGGGGTAGGCAAGTTCGGTCCTAGAGAGCCGCTATCCTGCAGAGTTTGGCTCCAACACTGAAAAAACCTCTCCTGCCTATAGCCTTAGTAATCCTGAAGACATTGATTAGCTTGTTCAGGTGTGTTTGATTAGGGTTGGAACTAAATTCTGCAGGACAGCGGCTCTCTAGGACCGAACTTGCCTACCCCTGCTCTACACCAACGACTGCACCGCTAAAGACCCCTCTCTCAAACTCCTGAAGTTTGCAGACAACACCACACTCATTGGTGATGATGAGTCTGCTTACAGACTGGAGGTTAAAGAGCTGGCTGTCTTGTGCAATTATTGCAACCTAGAGCTTAACACGCTCAAAACAGTGGAGATGATTGTGGACTTCAGAAGAAACACATTCAGTCACTCAGGTTCCTGAGCACCACCATCTCTCACGACCTGAAGTGGGAGTTCCACTTAAACTGGACCCTTCACACTAGAGGTCTGCTACCCGAACCTGAGGCTATTCATTAAACAACCCGAACCCGACCCGAAACCGGGTCGGGTTCGGGTTTGTAACTAAGAAAAAACTCTATACATATATATAGTTTGTGTGCCATTTGCTTGCCTGCTTGCTGTGTTGTGATTGCAAATAAGAGCAAGCGAGAGAGAAAGTAGGCCTACGCAAACAATTTTTTTATAAAAAGATATATGAATCATTTTTATTTTATCAAATACCATTTTAAAAACTGTTTTGCGGACGTGCTCCGGGGCGCACTATTTCAGTCACAACACCTCAATCAGAGGAGGACGGCGGCGGTGAAACCTTTTTGTTTAATTATTGTTGCAAGCAATCATTCAACACAGCATATTGCAAAAAAGAAAGTAAAAAAAGTACTTACTGTGAGAATCGGACCTCGGGTTCAGGCTTAAAATATAACCGTATTTGAGTCGGGTCAGGTTAAATGATTTCGGGTACGGGCCGGGTTCAGGCTTCAGTTTAAAGCCCGTGCAAACCTCTACCTCACACCAGGCAGTTACTCTTTGAACTGGCGCTACAGAGCATTGAGCACCAGAACGGCCAGGCGTAGGAACAGTCCTCAGGCAATCCATCTCATGAACAGTCAATGCCCCCATTTGGCAATAAACGTGCAATACTGTACACAACACTATTTATACATTTATTTGACACACCATACATATTATTTACATTTCCTTGCATTTTTACATACCTGTCCATACATATATGTCTATTGTCTAATTTTGTATATTGTGTATTTTTTTTTATTTTTTTTGCATATCGTTATTTCCCATTTACTCTATTTTTATTATTTTTATTATCTGTGTGCTGTCACTGTCTTTCTGTTTGTGCTGTGGAAGCTCTATCACTAAAACAAATCCCTTGTATGTGCAAACATATCTGGCAATAAAGCTCTTTCTGATTCTGATATAGCCAAATTATTTTTTATATTGTAGGTTCTTTACTACAATCTCATAAGTAATTTTACTCAAATCATTCATTAAACCTTCACAGATTGTTGAACAGTGGTTGATCACCTGGTACGAGAGCATCTCTCCTGAGGTCATACAGCATCCCCAGCTGGAAGGGTCTCCCTAGAGCTGCAGTCTCTATTGAATTCACTCCCACTGGATCCATGCTGGACAAAACACAGAAAAGAAGAGATTAACTAATGAGGTTATTGATAGTGGTTTGACCATTTTGTTCATAGCTTCCGATTCGGAATTTGGTTCTTAAATATCACCATTAGCGCCATCTGGTGGGCCTCTAAAAATAGCGCAATGCACTTTCCTCAAATTTTTATTAAGGTTTGTGTAATAATTAGTAGGTATTAAACTTTGGCAATTAATTCAGCACGAATTAATTCTTTTTAAAAACGTCAATTTTTTTTGTTAAACAAAATATTTATTTAAAGCATGCTATTTTACATAAGGTATTAACGAAACAATGCAGACTCAATTTACAATATATAAGTCTCACCCTTTCGAAGACAGTTGAGTATCTGTCATGACTGGTTCCACACATGGGGAGTCAAGGTTACAAAGCAATGTCTTGTTAAATGAAATACAAATTAAATTATTTTTTTCCACAAAAGACACAATGTCTACTGAAGACCTAAACAAACTGTTAGAGCCTACATGAGAGACGGTCGTGATCTGCGTTTCCACTGAAGGACTGATACACGCGCAGCGCAAACTGAGATTTGTCATTATTTGCCATTAAGAGAAACACATTCATTCTCATTCAGTTGCTCCTATGAAATATGCGGAAGTATCAAAATACGAGGAAGTCCAGAATCACGGAGAAGAAACGAAGGCACATTGACAAATGAAACATGAAACTTAATAAATACGATGACAATTGCATGTTTTCATCAAGCAATCTCGGGTATTTTTCAAAGAATAATCAATCTGCAGCATGAAGCTGATATGAAAAAGTGAAAAGGCATCTGTGCTGATCCTGTCCTTTTATTGTGTAGCTATGTTGTCTTTCATTACTGTATATGGGCGGGTCTTTACAGTAATCAGGTAATAATTAAGTGAAATTAAGCTACTTACTGTTTTAGGTTCCTTCCGGTTTCAAATGACTTTAAATCTTGCAGGTAAATAGATCAACAGGTATTTACAGGATACTGAGGGAAACGCCCTCTTGATCATGTGATTTAGAGGAAAATAATGCTGTTTACCATTGAACATTTTAATTAATTTCCCTTTGAAAAAAATGATAATAAACTTTGTGCTTGGGTCAGAGGTGACATTTCATATCAATTTTTTTTGTTTGTGTGTTTGTGTATTGCCAATAACCTTTCATCGTTACATCATAGCCTATGTTCACTCCATCAAAGCATTGTAAAATGGATATAAGAGGTAAAAATTTACAAATAAACAGTGTCTAAGAGCAAGAATAAAACAAGCTAGGATTTCACATTTATTAGTGTTCAATTTAACACCTGATGCCTTTGAGAACTGACTGATTGAATCTAACGCTCTGGAAATTTGCCTTTTGTCTTTTAGAAATAAAGTTGTGTCGTCCGCAAACTGACTTATTATGATATGCTTTCCCAGGATGTTGAAGCCATCAGAATTGTTCATTCTAATTCTAATAGACAATAGTTCAGTGACCATTATAAATAATAAAGGAGAGCTGTTGCAGCTTGTCTAATGCCCCTCTTAACTGTGAATCGTGAGCATGTGCCGTGCTCCAGAGATACACAGCTGTTAATATCATTATGTAGAGTAGACTAATTAAATTTGAGAATTTCTGTCCAAAACCAAAATGTTTAAAGTTTCTAAAATAAAGGGGTGTTCAACTGAATCAAAAGCTTTGTAAAAATCTAAAAATACAATAAAACCATGTTCTACCAATGTAAGACTGTACTCGATCAAGTCTATAGTACCAATCGTATGTTATTATGGATAGATCTTCCAGCAAGAAAGCCAGACTGAGTTTCATTTATGATCTGTGGTAGGCATTTTTTCATCCTAGCTGCAATAATTCCCGATAACAACTTATAATCAATGTTAAGAAGTGTAATTGGTCTTAAATTATCTAACAATCTTTTATCTTTGCCATGTTTAGGAATAAGTATTATTAGGCCTTGTTTCATGCTTGTCATTAATTCATTCTTCAATATGCATTCTTGAATTGCCTTAAATAATAAATGTCTGATTTCTTTACAAAAGAATAAAACTCGGCAGTGAGCCCGTCGGTACCCGGAGATTTATTCAATGACAATTTCAAGCTCACGTCATCCAATTCTTCTACTCTTAAATCGGACTCACAAAATTCTTTAGACGAAACATCAATCTTGGGTATGAAGTCCTTTATTTCTTTTTAAAAATTTGAGGAATCTAGTTGGGAATATGCAGAGGTGTAAAGATTATTATAAAATGTAAAAGCTGAATTTTCCATGGTTTTATTGTCCTTGCACTCTACTCCATTTATCAGTAAACTTGATATTGCCTTATTTTCCTGTCTTCTCTTCTCTAAATTACTGAAATATGAGGTGTTTTTTTCTCCTTCCTCTATCCACTTTGCTCGTGATCTCACAAACGCACCTTGAGCTCTTTTGCTAAACATGTCATCTAATTTGACTTGCAATATCAATTATTTGCTTCTTTCTTCACTGTTTAATTCTGTCTTATCACAGTATTTACTAATTTCCTGAAACAGATTCACTTCGTTTTTCCCTGGCAATCTCCTTGCTAACCTTAATAGAACATTCTCGAATTCTATATTTTACAAATTCCCATTTATTACAAAAACTATCAATTGTCTCATTATTTTCAGTTTCAATTATTATTTCTTTTATCTTTGTACAATACTCTTTATTTTTTAACAGACCGGAGTTAAATTTCCAGTAGCTTTTATTTTTACTTATTTTATCAACTGGATTTAATTTAATTTCTACAATACAATTATCCGTTAATGGGGCTTTGGAAATCAAGATGTCTGAGACAAATTCTGTAAGCGATTGATCAACGAGCCAGTAGTCAATCCTGGATTTACAGGTGTTATTAGGTTTAAACCAGGAGTATTGTTTAACTCCTAAATTTAAACTTCTCCAAATATCTATCAGGTGGTTTTTATTCATAAAATCCCCAATTGTATGATTAAAGTGGTGTCTGTCAAATTTAGTGGGCCATCTATGTTCCCATTCATCAGGTGACATATTCCAGTCACCTCCCATTAGAATAAAGTCTGTTGGATAAAATGTTTTGAGCTCTGATAAAGTGTTTGTAACATCTTCAAGCATCTGTTTATTTTGGGCAGTGGTTCTATGACCATATAAGTTAATATGAAAAAATAGCCATCAATTTTTAAGACCACCAGCCAATGCCCTTGACTATCTGTCCTGTATGCAATTATATCACCTGGAAACCTATTAAAGCAAACTGCAACACCAGCAGACTTGTTAGTCCCATGACTAAACAGTATTTGATCACCCCATTGGTTAGACCAAAACATAACATCCTCTTGGGAAGAATGAGTTTCTTGTAATAATAGACATTGTGGTTTTCGCCCTTTACAAAATAAAAATAGTGCCTTTCATTTGACCAAATCTTTTAGACCCCTCACGTTTAGTGAAGCAAAGGAAACTGAACAATTGAACATTGCTCGAGATACTGAAGATAACTAAAAAGTGCAAACAAAAACAAAACAGTAAAAACTTGCTTCAAAGCTTATTTAAACAAAACAGTAAGAACTTACTTCAAGCTTACTCATGCTGGTTCGTAAATACAAAAAAGTCCCTTGTCCTTTTAACGCACTCCTTTTACACCTAGTGTAAGTAGATCAAACCTTTCTTTGCTTAATCAATTTGACGACCCTCTATGTATCCGTGCGGCCCGCGGTAATAAGCACGCTTTCCATCCCGACGAGCCTGTCCAATCTGCGGCCACAGTTTCTTCCTTGCCTCCCTGTCCTCTAGCGGAAGCATCTCGGCGAGGCGGACGCCTTTCTCTCTGCACACCAGGGAATCCTTGCATCTCCGCCACAACTCCTCCTTGACAAGTCTCCGGACAAATAAAACAACTATGTGCCTACTTCTGTTATCTTCTTTACGGCCGACTCTGTGAACAATGGCGATTGCTTCTTCGAGCTGCCGCCGTTCCATGTTGGGGGCGATCTCACTGAAGAGTTGAATGACGTCTGCTCTAACGTTCTCGTCTTTTCTTTCCGATAAACCTCTCAGTTTCAAACACCATCTCATCTTGTATCTCTCTTGTTCCCAGATTCTTTCTTTAAGCTCATTGTTTTCTTTGGACAGACATTCGCTGCACCTTTCCAGCTCGTTTATTTTCCCCTTGCATTCCATTACTTCTTCAGCATTGAACTGCACCGCTTTAGCTAGGCTAGCAACCATGCTGCTACTCTGTTTAGCTTGCTCTCGAAGTTGTGACAGTTGCTCATTAAAGTTCTTTTCTAAACTTTGAATGGCTTCCAAAATGGCCAAGTTAGAGACCTCACCTTCCTTTAAAGAAGTTTTGCTCTTCTTCCCGGCTGGAATCTTACTTGGAGTTGATGGCACGGAGTCTTTTCTTTTGCTGATTGTGCTAACTTCCATAGCGTAGTCATGGTCGGTAGATTGCTCTAGAATCTTTGTGTCCTTAGCACTCATCGCAACTTGCTTCTTTTCACTGTCTCCATCTTTAAATATCAGTCTAGCTGGTTTGATCATACTTCATTATACTTTTCCAAATAATTGGAGTGTCTTTTATAAGCTTAAAGTCAAAATTCGGGACAATTTTCTTCCGACTCTAAAGCGAGCGACTGATCAACACGCCATCTTGCCCAGAACCCGGCTGCAATACAAGTGCATAAGTTAGTTTTGCACCTCATATATCGCGAAAAGAGTCGCAAAAGTCAAGGCACGAAATTTGAATTTGCAGTGACAGATTTGAGAAGTTGCAAGTGCCTACTCGAGGTTGTATTGCGAATGTGAATGTAAGAATAAATGCAAATATTACATGTTTGTGACTGTATTTCTGTGAATGGCATTTTACACATTTGTGACTACTTGTCTGCAGCTTCAAATTCAGAATACAGGTTTGTGACTATTATCTGCGAGTGCAAATTTCAACATTCAACTTCAGATTTTTATTTGACCGGTTTTCACATTGGAGCTGTGAGTGTAAATGTTCACATACAAGTACGAATATGTATTGTAGGCCTACAAGTTCTCAAATTCACATACGTGCTCTCGAGTATTGCTACTCTTTTACCTCAGACTGATCTCATGAAATGGCGTATGTATGACACGCCAATTCGTATTTCCATTTTTGGCGTGCTATCAACACGCATAATCGCTTTTCAGCGTGTTTATCAACGCCTTTGACTTAACGTTATATTACTGTATTATGTATATATAAATATATGACCTACCCCAACCCCGTCCCTAAACCTACCCGTCACTGGGGTTAATACCATTTATGAGTCTTCTCCTACCATCCTAGGAAAAGAAATATCGCTCCACAGATGTAGATATAGATTTTGCTTCGTTTCGCTCGGACATTTAACGGCGTACACATACACGCGGAATCACTCGGACATTTAATGGCGTAGACATACACGCAAAAGATTTCGGCGTGGACATACACGCGGATAGCTCAAAATGCGTATAGATAGCACGCCACTTGAATTGAAAGTGGCGTGTATGTTTACGCAAAGTCATGATGTCATGTTGTTTACCTTCATACTATGGAAACACCCTTAGCACTTTGCCTACTAACACACAATTATGACATTTTTTGTCTCAGTGCATGCATTGTCTTAGTTTGGCAGCGCCGCCGCTAGCTTAGCTTAGCATAGCATAATGAATGGAATCCTTTGTTGCCGGATAGCATGTCGTGAGTAAAAGTGATAATAAAAAAACGAATTACTTCTTGTGGCCTGCATATTCACGGGTACAAATAGCAATGCAGATAAAGACTAGGCGATTTCCTAGGCAGATATTGACTTGGGACTATATTGGGGTGAAGCACAGGCGAAGCACTGCTACTTGGGCACAGAGATATCGAAGATATTCGGTTCAGGTCACGCCGGTATGTTGAAGGAAGTTGCAGTGCTTCGTCTGTGCTTCACCAAAAAACGGTGGCGGGTTCCTTTAAAGACAGTCTTAACATGGTTATGCAACTGGCCCTACAGACCACTACTCTACTGTTTCAGCTGCTGTGGGATATTTTAAGAGACAGACAAAGTGGGACGGGATGATTCACATACTGATACTGACCAACACAACACACACTAGTGGAGATGAGACACACTATTCTGACATCTGCACGATCTACTGAACATTCAGTCAAATGTTGACGTTGGATGTCAGGTTAATTCAAATCCAAACTTATAGTGGAAAGTAATAATTAATGATTTATGATATAATTAAACAATATAAGGAAAACTGTAAATTCAGAAGTTGTTTAAAATGTTATTTTAAACGTCAAACTTTCTGTAATTTGTGCTGATTATAAAGTTCAAAACAGTTTCTCTGAAAACCACGTATGAGGTTATGATCTTATTTTTCAATCTCCCTGTGTGTAATGGGTGTTCAGAGAGTCTGGATGATTTTGAGAGCCATTTGAAGTAAACGTTGAATTAGAATAACAATAATGTAGTTTTGAATAAAGTGTTTGGTCAATGATTTTTGTGGTTTTGAATGTGCAGTTGTAGCTTTAAGAAATGTGTTAAAATCTTCAGGAAGGTGTCTTATTGAGCACAAATAAATAACCAGGAAACTAATTAAATTAATTTATTAATAAAGAGACAAATGTGATACAAGTTTCATATTCATTCTTTTAGCATATTTTTATTACAAGTTTGGAGCAATAAACCTGTGAGCCCCTAAAATATCATAAGTCCAGATTTATAAGTCCAGTAGTTTTTATTAAAGCCATAACACAATTGTCTTTCCCTGTTTCATGAAGGATAATACTCATAATTTTCTCATATGGCCTCCAGTGGACGTTAAAATGCACATCATTTTCCAAAATATATGAATTTGTTGATTTGTTGAATTTGTTGTGGGCTATTCTTTGAAAAATAAATAAATAATACTATAGCAGGAAATTACAAAAATCATTATAGCATTTGACATTTGCTAAACAGATGCTGTTACAAAGCAACTTAAAAATGAGAAAATTACAGAGATTTCTTAGGACCGTTTAAAAAAAACATATAGGGGCAGCATGCTGGTGTTGGTGTTGGTGGAAAACCAGCAAATGCTCATGCTTTTCACAAGCAAACCTTAATGTGTGACCACAGATGTTAAGTTGCATTTAAAAATAATTATGAATTATTTTTATGATTCCCAGAGCTCTATTTTTTTCTCCTGCTCTCTTCTTGATGTTTTCCAGTATTTCAGCCTTTTCAGGCTCATTTATTTCCTTCAGCTTCTCATTTAGAAAATCAACATGCTGAAATGTGTTCAGAGAATCAGTGTTGAGTGCGATCTTCTCCAGAGTTTCCACACAGTGAAAAGCTTCAATCACCAGCTTTACTTTCTCTTTCTCTAATTCGTGCAGTTCTTCTTCCAGCTTCTTGACCAAATACTCACCATCCCCAATTCTGTCATTATATTTCTTCTTTAACTCTTCATATGTTCTCTTCTCCTTCTTTGTCTTTGTTTCATATATTTTTGCTCCTTTGACGTGTTCTTTGTAGTGGCATTTATTTGTGCACACTGTACAGTGATCATCTTTCATCACACTGCACCATGAGAGATTCTTGATCCACCAGCATCCTGGATAATGACAGTTCTCCTCACAGATTGTGCAGCATGTGGCCATGCTGGCTAGAGAAGGATCAATATCAACCTTCTCTTTGTAGGCCACGTCAACTTCATACTCAAAGTCTTTATTGTCTTCTACATCTTGCTTGTTCTGCTTCAGAGCTTCTTGACTTTGTTTCAGCTCTTTTTGCTTTAGTTCTGTCATGAGAACTCGTGACTGTAGATTAGAGATATTTGCCTCCAACTGTTTCCGTTGTTGTAACACATCTTGAGTCATATTTAAGGATTTTGGTTTTATGTTGTCAAGAAATTTGAACAATTGCGTCATTCCTTTAAAACTGAGATCCCATGATTGTTTCAGCCTCTGTTCATAGTATTCTCCATCATCATCATCTTCTTCATCATCAGTGTCTGACTGACGGTTATTAAACAGGAAAAACACCGGCTGATTCTTGTCATTCACTGCACACTTGATTTTAGCCTCTTTAACAGCCGTCAGGGCATTTCTAGGAGGCATTCCATCTGAGTGTGTGAAGAGCAAGATGATGTTTTCAGCAATATCTCTCCCAAATAAAGACTGAACAGCATCAAATATGTATATTTGTCTGTCAGAGAGTCGATGTTGTTGTGCCATAATCACCAGACACACTGCATGTATTTCATTGATTCCTGCAGATTTGATTAAGCTACACAAACTCTCAGCGATCTGTTTATCAAGATTAACTCCACGAGTGTCTCCATATCCTGGTGTGTTGATGATTGTTAGATCAGTTTTACTCTCTTGTGGATAAAACCCATAAACAGTGATGATGGAGGTCTGACTGTGAACTGATGTTCGGTTACTCTGATCATCTGTGATCTCAAACCAAACCTTGTCTTCTCTCTGAACATCTAACATGTAGTTGATCATAGTGTTGATTAGGGTTGTTTTTCCTGTTCCTGTTTCTCCCAACATCAGAATGGTTTTATGGGGTTTGGTTTTGTCTCTCTCTCCAAAGGTCATTTTTCTGTATGGTTCAGATTGATCCAAATTGTATGTCTTTGTTTGCAGACGATATCGAGCAGGATTTCCATCTTTGATTAAGATGCTTTTCTTGATAAGATCATTTTTGTTCTGTATATAAAGCATAAAAACACAATAACAATAAAGATGTTCATGCACACATTTTGTACAATCTCATATTTTGAAATCATCATCAAATTATAAAATGTTCACCAACATCCCTGATATAATAAAGGCCCTTTCACACTAACTCAACCAAGAAAAGGTATAAGCATTATACATTTATTATTTGCCATTTCCCCGCATATGCTAAATGACAGATTCGATTGATGTAATGATTTCTGTTTTGTATACTTCAAAAAACGTCTTCTGTGAGGCTAGTTTACCTGGTCACCTACAATAGAAACCTAAAATTGCCCTTTAATGAGATTCTATCAGCAATGCTTCTCATGAACAAGAACAGTGATTGTGTTTGAGGGTACAAGTCACGTGAAAAGGCTCAAGATAAGAATAACAGTGTTTTATGATATTTCATGAATGTACATCATACCTTTGTGGTAACTGTGGTGACATCAGATTCAGTGATGTAGTCGAGTTTCCCCACCGCTGCACATTTAATATTGTACTCAGTATCTGGTCTGAGATCAGTCAGAGTAACTGTGTCCTGGTTCTTTGACACAGTTTGAGATGTCCAGTCTTTCTCTTCCTTCATTTTGTACAGTAATTTGAACTCCTCTGTAGCAGGACCCGGTGGAGACACTTTCAGAACCACTTGCTTATATCTGACCTGTTGGACAGTGATCGGACAGTCTGGTTTTGATGGAGGAGTGAAGCAAACAGATTCATTACATCCATTTTCATACAGAAGAATGCAGGAACCTGGATGCTTTTCATGCTCTTTTATGAAAACCATAAATTTGCTCTGACTGCTATATGAAGTCATCAGCTCCTTAAATATTTTCAAATGTTCTCTCATTTTCTCCCGGATGCTTCCAGTGAGCCATGATTGAGACGCCACATCAGGTTTCTTCTGAGGATTTCTCATCATTTGAGGATTCATGTAATTTTCTTGTTCATTAAGCAACTCATCCGGCTGCTCAAGAGAACTGAAAGTGTAACAAAACACATTCTCCACCTGAATATCAGACAAATACGAGTCCAAGCTTGTGTTCACTTCGGCTCCAAAGTCCATTAACTGTCTAAGAAACTCATTAACGGTGTTTAATTCTTCTTCTTTCACCGTGATCCACTCTTTCAGACTCTTTTCACTGAATGGAGACTCATCATGAGCTTGAAGAAGATCCATCAGAGCACAAGACTCTTTCTCACAAGCTTTAACTGACTGGATCACAGATTTAATTCGGTCACTGAAATCTTGTCGATACGTTTGGCAGTTTTGCAGCATATCTTGTATTTTCTTATGAAGTGCACTAAAAGTTGTTTCCTTGATGTTTTCCAAAAGTAAATTGCACTTGTTTTCAATCCAACTGAGATTTTTGATAGCAGACTCTTTGGCCTTGAGGAGATTCTGGTTTATGACTGTGAGACGCGTCACATCACTCTCTACGGTGTAGTCGAGTTTTCCCACCGCTGCACATTTAATATTGTACTCAGTATCTGGTCTGAGATCAGTCAGAGTAACTGTGTCCTGGTTCTTTGACACAGTTTGAGATGTCCAGTCTTTCTCTTCCTTCATTTTGTACAGTAATTTGAGCTCCTCTGTAGCAGGACCCGGTGGAGACACTTTCAGATCCACTTGTCTATATCTGACATCTTCAATGATCGGACAGTCTGGTTTTGATGGAGGAGTGAAGCAAACAGCTTCATTAGATTCATTTTCATACAGGAGAATGCAGGAACCTGGATTATTTTTCATTTCTTTTGATGCAACAATGAATTTGACTGATTTGCTGTTGTTTAAATCAATCAAGTGTTTAAATACCCTCAGGTTGTTCCTCATCGTCTTTTGGGTGTCAGGCGTGAGCCAAGTCTTGTGTTCGGGTTTCTCCTCATTTTTTCCTTTCGTTGAAGAACTCAGGAAGGTCTTTTGTTCAGAAAGCAGCACATCTGTCCAGCTCAATGATGTGAAAGTGTAGCTGACCAAATGTTTAACTTCCAGATTCATTAGATTTTTATTGAGGTTGTTTTCTACCATTGCTCCTGAGTCGTTCAGTTGTGTGAGCAATGCTTTAATAATGTTAGATTCTTCCTCTTTCTCTTTCAGCCATTGTTCAAGAGCGCTTCTTTCAAATGGAGATTCCTCATGATCTCGTAGAAGATCGATCAATGCTGTGTCCACTATGAATTTTCCACGGATCTTTGGTAAGAGCGAGCCGAGTTTCTTCATGAGACTCAATCTGCACTGGTAGCAGTTTTTCTTCATCTCATTGATTTTGTCATGAAATGCAGTAAATGTGGAAGCTGGCGTGTCTGTCAGAAGATCACTGCATTTCATCTCAGTCGTATTCAAACTCTCAATTACTGATTCAAGATCTGAGCTTAAACCTGTGCTGATTTCATGTTGAAACTTTACAACTCTTGAGAAAAGTTTGTCCAAAGGATAAAGCCAAACTCTCAGAGGAACCGCAAGCTCTTTGTTTTCTCCCAGCAGTTTTGGAAGATCTTCAAAAACCTTCATAGCATCTTCAAAAGTGGTCGGGTTACGTGATAGCTGGAAGTCGCCATAAAATGTACACTTGAATTTTTGGGCTGCGGTCTTCAGACTGTCATTCAGATTAATGTTTGCACCGGCTGAAATGCTGATTAGCTTCCCAAAGACAGCTTCTACATCTACGTCTATCACTCTCTTGTCCTCATCTGATAAAACGTTTCTATCAAAAACAAAGCATGCGTCTGCTCCGTACAGCACTGCGGTCACTACATGTGTGGCGACGCCATCGTCATAGTGAGCCATGTCTCCAGAAGCAAAGTGGTTCATGATCAGTTCTTCAAACTTAGAGGTTGAATGATAATGTAATGTCAGTCTCTGTTGGTTGAATGATCTCTTGGTGTCCTTGAGATAATTAGCAGCTCCAGTTACACTGATGAGTCCTCCTAAAACACTCAGTTTCAGACATCCATCAATATTCAGCAATCTAGACTTTTCCTCAATCGAGTCTGAAGCGGTGACTGTGAAAACTGTATTGATTTGGGGTTTAGTGCTTATGTTCTGCTCGTTACTCCAAAGTCTGATTCCTGTAATGGAGAAAAATAAACAATTTATAACTAAATACTTTATACATTAATAAAACAGCAATTTAATCTGCCCCTTCAAGGCAACCTTCATTTTCTCCCAGCAGAGTAATACCAAAAAAAAAAAATGCTTGCCCCATTGGTCATTCTCTTCCATTTATTTATTTATTTATTTTTATATTTATTTACATAAATGACAGGTGAATCGCTAAATATAAGCAACATTTGTGGATTATCACATAAATTGTGGTTGTGGGCTGGAGGAGAACTGGACCGAATAGCCCTGTTTGATTATTTCCAGAGCCATGAGAAAGAGTTGCGACACGCTTTGATGTCGCCGCGACGGCTGTCACGTGGTTCATGTAATCCCCAATAGTTCCAAAACATACGCTGGCTGTCATGTTCTTCTATGGACAGACAGCAGCGATTGCATTATTAAACGGTAGATATAAAATAAAACACACAGCCAAGTACTTTTTAAGCTGTTATTGCATTTTGTTAATGTCAGTTTTGCATTTGGAGAGGCAGGGTGACAACTTAGATAAGTTTTAGGCTATATTTTTTGGAGGGAAACGCTAGTGTTCATGTTCGCATGGGTAGTAGCACTGGCTTTAGCGGCTCTAACTTAACTTTTCCATGTCATTCATCTGATGATGGACGTCTCATGATATTTATTTTAGCACAACTGGGCTGTATTAGGCTATTGATTCCCGTGATCTTGCTCAGACTGATCTCATGAAATGGCGTATGTATGACACGCCAATTCGTATTTCCATTTTTGGCGTGCTATCAACACGCATAATCGCTTTTCAGCGTGTTTATCAACGCCTTTGACTTAACGTTATATTACTGTATTATGTATATATAAATATATGACCTACCCCAACCCCGTCCCTAAACCTACCCGTCACTGGGGTTAATACCATTTATGAGTCTTCTCCTACCATCCTAGGAAAAGAAATATCGCTCCACAGATGTAGATATAGATTTTGCTTCGTTTCGCTCGGACATTTAACGGCGTACGCATACACGCGGAATCACTCGGACGTTTAATGGCGTAGACATACACGCAAAAGATTTCGGCGTGGACACACACGCGGATAGCTCAAAATGCGTATAGATAGCACGCCACTTGAATTGAAAGTGGCGTGTATGTTTACGCAAAGTCATGATGTCATGTTGTCTTGCTTATAAATTCCGCTTCGTGATCACGCAAAGAGGTCTGCAGTCCGTTCAGAACTCCAACCAACATAAAATATAAATAATTACGCTGTGCATGTACAAATGAATGATTTAGGAGGGAAATAGACTGCTCCCATAACGTAGAAAGCAACGACTATATACAGCAATGTTCGGTAAATATTCAACCGAAAACTATTCTTCATAAAATTAAACCGGAGAGATAGTTAATGAGTGAATTAACTATGTTCCTAAATACATATAAGCACGCATAACCCTAACCCATTTAAATAAATGAAGTGTGTGTGTGTGTATAATAATATATATAGGCTATATATATATATATATATACATACATATACAATTTTATTACAAATATTATATATTATATACATCAGTTACCGTAAGTAAGTTAGTTAGTGAAGTGTTGGTCACGTAAGCTATCGCTGCAATTAACCTATTATCTTCCAATAAACATTTACTAAAACTGGCTACATAAAATATAACTACAGACTAGATTCACGAGAGGTCGGCTAATGTGTGTAAAAGTAAAAAAATACAGTAATTTCATTAATTTACCAGCGAGCGTACTTCGGAAGCACTGAAAATGAATGGGGTTCAATGCTGGAACTATCAGTGTTTGGAACTATCGGCTGCTCCACGACACGCGTTACTTCCGCATTCCAAAGTTCCTATGGCGGTCTATGGGAGTGTCGCAACTCTTTCTCTCTATGGCTCTGATTATTTCTAAAACACAATCCGACACGGATCCGGGAACTGAACAGGGGGTTTGGAGGTAAACACATGGTCGCTTTGGGGGTGGTCTGGCCTTGGCAGGACTCAACCTCCTCCTCTTCATGCCCGAAACATCAGGGCTGCTTGGGATCCAGCTCCAGCCTAGGGGGTGGTCCCTGACACCTAGGAAGCGGATAGCGCTTAGCTGGACGGAAGAGCTGCTTCACCTTAGGTTACACTTTGGCCTGGGGCTGAGCGGGTGCAGGAGACTTGACATGCTGCTGAGTCGATGACGGCTTAGAGCGACTCAAGGCAGAGGAAGAACTGGTCCGCTTCAGTAAGAAGTGGTGCATCGCCTGCAACGACTGCAAAGCCATCAACTGCAGAACCAAATAGACCCGATGGAGGGAAAAGAGATGAGCCGGCCTTGGTCTTCCACCGAGGGCTGTGGGTGGGTAGAGGTACGTGAAGACGGCCTCTTCCAAAGAGGGAAGGTTGGTTTACACTTTTTCTTCCATGCCATCAACCGAGGTGACGGCAGATGAAGAATAATAATGGACGCATGCTGAGTAGTTATTCATGGACTTCTGGGAAGAACAGGGTTGGCGGTGCCCCGGCTGCAGGAACCATTCATCGAGGCAGCTGTGGGCCGACCACTCCAAGCCCAACTCTTCTACAGCCTTTTACAGCTCAGCGGATGAGATGAGCTGTACAATGAGCTGTTTCTGTCTCTTCGGGGAAAAAAAGTAATTTGAAAGACTGGTGCTGGCCTGCCTGAGGGACATTACTGGACCCTTGCTGGACCCCCTGCAGTTTGCATATGAGGAAACAGGTCTGTGGATGATGCAGTCAACATGGGACTGCATTATATCCTACAACATCTCGACAAACCAGGGACTTCTGTGAGGATCCTGTTTGTGGACTTCAGCTCGGCCTGCAACACCATCCTCCCAAACCTCCTCCTGTTCAAATTAACCCAGCTCTTTTTGCCCACCTCCATCTGTCAGTGGATCAGACATGCAGCAGCTAGTGAGGTTGGGGAAATTCTCATCCAGCACTTGCATAATCAGCACTGGCGCCCCCTAGGGGTGCGTTCTTTCCCACTGCTCTTCTCCCTCTACACCAACGACTGCACCGCTAAAGACCCCTCTCTCAAACTCCTGAAGTTTGCAGACAACACCACACTCATTGGTGGTGATGAGTCTGCTTACAGACTGGAGGTTAAAGAGCTGGCTGTCTTGTGCAATTATTGCAACCTAGAGCTTAACACGCTCAAAACAGTGGAGATGATTGTGGACTTCAGGAGAAACACATTCAGTCATTCAGGTTCCTGAGCACCAGCATCTCTCACGACCTGAAGTGGGAGTTCCACTTAAACTGGACCCTTCACACTAGAGGTCTGCTACCCGAACCTGAGGCTATTCATTAAACAACCCGAACCCGACCCGAAACCGGGTTTGTAACTAAGAAAAAACTCTATACATATATATAGTTTGTGTGCCATTTGCTTGCCTGCTTGCTGTGTTGTGATTGCAAATAAGAGCAAGCGAGAGAGAAAGTAGGCCTACGCAAACAATTTTTTTATAAAAAGATATATGAATCATTTTTATTTTATCAAATACCATTTTAAAAACTGTTTTGCGGACGTGCTCCGGGGCGCACTATTTCAGTCACAACACCTCAATCAGAGGAGGACGGCGGCGGTGAAACCTTTTTGTTTAATTATTGTTGCAAGCAATCATTCAACACAGCATATTGCAAAAAAGAAAGTAAAAAAAGTACTTACTGTGAGAATCGGACCTCGGGTTCAGGCTTAAAATATAACCGTATTTGAGTCGGGTCAGGTTAAATGATTTCGGGTACGGGCCGGGTTCAGGCTTCAGTTTAAAGCCCGTGCAAACCTCTACCTCACACCAGGCAGTTACTCTTTGAACTGGCGCTACAGAGCATTGAGCACCAGAACGGCCAGGCGTAGGAACAGTTTCTTTCCTCAGGCAATCCATCTCATGAACAGCCAATGCCCCCACTTGGCAATAAACATGTGCAATACTGTACACAACACTATTTATACATTTATTTATTTATTTGACACACCATACATATTATTTACATTTCCTTGCATTTTTACATACCTGTCCATACATATATGTCTATTGTCTAATTTTGTATATTGTGTATTTTTTTTTTTTTTTTTGCATATCGTTATTTCCAATTTACTCTATTTTTATTATTTTTATTATCTGTGTGCTGTCACTGTCTTTCTGTTTGTGCTGTGGAAGCTCTATCACTAAAACAAATCCCTTGTATGTGCAAACATATCTGGCAATAAAGCTCTTTCTGATTCTGATATAGCCAAATTATTTTTTATATTGTAGGTTCTTTACTACAATCTCATAAGTAATTTTACTCAAATCATTCATTAAACCTTCACAGATTGTTGAACAGTGGTTGAGCACCTGGTACGAGAGCATCTCTCCTGAGGTCATACAGCATCCCCAGCTGGAAGGGTCTCCCTAGAGCTGCAGTCTCTATTGAATTCACTCCCACTGGATCCATGCTGGACAAAACACAGAAAAGAAGAGATTAACTAATGAGGTTATTGATAGTGGTTTGACCATTTTGTTCATAGCTTCCGGATTCGGAATTTGGTTCTTAAATATCACCATTAGCGCCATCTGGTGGGCCTCTAAAAATAGCGCAATGCACTTTCCTCAAATTTTTATTAAGGTTTGTGTAATTACTAGTAGGTATTAAACTTTGGCAATTAATTCAGCACGAATTAATTCTTTTTAAAAACGTCAATTTGTTTTGTTAAACAAAATATTTATTTAAAGCATGCTATTTTACATAAGGTATTAACGAAACAATGCAGACTCAATTTACAATATATAAGTCTCACCCTTTCGAAGACAGTTGAGTATTTGTCATGACTGGTTCCACACATGGGGAGTCAAGGTTACAAAGCAATGTCTTGTTAAATGAAATACAAATTAAATTATTTTTTTCCACAAAAGACACAATGTCTACTGAAGACCTAAACAAACTGTTAGAGCCTACATGAGAGACGGTCGTGATCTGCGTTTCCACTGAAGGACTGATACACGCGCAGCGCAAACTGAGATGTATCATTATTTGCCATGAAGAGAAACACATTCATTCTCATTCAGTTGCTCCTATGAAATATGCGGAAGTATCAAAATACGAGGAAGTCCAGAATCACGGAGAAGAAACGAAGGCACATTGACAAATGAAACATGAAACTTAATAAATACGATGACAATTGCATGTTTTCATCAAGCAATCTCGGGTATTTTTCAAAGAATAATCAATCTGCAGCATGAAGCTGATATGAAAAAGTGAAAAGGCATCTGTGCTGATCCTGTCCTTTTATTGTGTAGCTATGTTGTCTTTCATTACTGTATATGGGCGGGTCTTTACAGTAATCAGGTAATAATTAAGTGAAATTAAGCTACTTACTGTTTTAGGTTCCTTTCGGTTTCAAATGACTTTAAATCTTGCAGGTAAATAGATCAACAGGTAGGCTATTTACAGGATACTGAGGGAAACGCCCTCTTGATCATGTGATTTAGAGGAAAATATGCTGTTTACCATTGAACATTTTAATTAATTTCCCTTTGAAAAAAATGATAATAAACTTTGTGCTTGGGTCAGAGGTGACATTTCATATCAATTTTTTTTGTTTGTGTGTTTGTGTATTGCCAATAACCTTTCATCGTTACATCATAGCCTATGTTCACTCCATCAAAGCATTGTAAAATGGATATAAGAGGTAAAAATTTACAAATAAACAGTGTCTAAGAGCAAGAATAAAACAAGCTAGGATTTCACATTTATTAGTGTTCAATTTAACACCTGATGCCTTTGAGAACTGACTGATTGAATCTAACGCTCTGGAAATTTGCCTTTTGTCTTTTAGAAATAAAGTTGTGTCGTCCGCAAACTGACTTATTATGATATGCATTCCCAGGATGTTGAAGCCATCAGAATTGTTCATTCTAATCCTAATAGACAATAGTTCAGCGACCATTATAAATAATAAAGGAGAACTGTTGCAGCTTGTCTAATGCCCCTCTTAACTGTGAATCGTGAGCATGTGCCGTGCTCCAGAGATACACAGCTGTTAATATCATTATGTAGAGTAGACTAATTAAATTTGAGAATTTCTGTCCAAAACCAAAATGTTTAAAGTTTCTAAAATAAAGGGGTGTTCAACTGAATCAAAAGCTTTGTAAAAATCTAAAAATACAATAAAACCATGTTCTACCAATGTAAGACTGTACTCGATCAAGTCTATAGTACCAATCGTATGTTATTATGGATAGATCTTCCAGCAAGAAAGCCAGACTGAGTTTCGTTTATGATCTGTGGTAGGCATTTTTTCATCCTAGCTGCAATAATTCCCGATAACAACTTATAATCAATGTTAAGAAGTGTAATTGATCTTAAATTATCTAACAATCTTTTATCTTTGCCATGTTTAGGAATAAGTATTATTAGGCCTTGTTTCATGCTTGTCATTAATTCATTCTTCAATATGCATTCTTGAATTGCCTTAAATAACAAATGTCTGATTTCTTTCCAAAAGAATAAAACTCGGCAGTGAGCCCGTCGGTACCCGGAGATTTATTCAATGACAATTTCAAGCTCACGTCATCCAATTCTATACTCTTAAATCGGACTCACAAAATTCTTTAGAAGAAACATCAATCTTGGGTATGAAGTCCTTTATTTCTTTAAAAAAATTTGAGGAATCTAGTTGGGAATATGCAGAGGTGTAAAGATTATTATAAAATGTAAAAGCTGAATTTTCCATGGTTTTATTGTCCTTGCACTCTACTCCATTTATCAGTAAACTTGATATTGCCTTATTTTCCTGTCTTCTCTTCTCTAAATGACTGAAATATGAGGTGTTTTTTCTCCTTCCTCTATCCACTTTGCTCGTGATCTCACAAACGCACCTTGAGCTCTTTTGCTAAACATGTCATCTAATTTGACTTGCAATATCAATTATTTGCTTCTTTCTTCACTGTTTAATTCTGTCTTATCACAGTATTTACTAATTTCCTGAAACAGATTCACTTCTTTTTTCCCTGGCAATCTCCTTGCTAACCTTAATAGAACATTCTCGAATTCTATATTTTACAAATTCCCATTTATTGCAAAAACTATCAATTGTCTCATTATTTTCAGTTTCAATTATTATTTATTTTATCTTTGTACAATACTCTTTATTTTTTAACAGACCGGAGTTAAATTTCCAGTAGCTTTTATTTTTACGTATTTTATCAACTGGATTTAATTTAATTTCTACAATACAATTATCCGTTAATGGGGCTTTGGAAATCAAGATGTCTGAGACAAATTCTGTAAGCGATTGATCAACGAGCCAGTAGTCAATCCTGGATTTACAGGTGTTATTAGGTTTAAACCAGGAGTATTGTTTAACTCCTAAATTTAAACTTCTCCAAATATCTATCAGGTGGTTTTTATTCATAAAATCCCCAATTGTATGATTAAGTGGTGTCTGTCAAATTTAGTGGGCCATCTATGTTCCCATTCATCAGGTGACATATTCCAGTCACCTCCCATTAGAATAAAGTCTGTTGGATAAAATGTTTTGAGCTCTGATAAAGTGTTTGTAACATCTTCAAGCATCTGTTTATTTTTGGCAGTGGTTCTATGACCATATAAGTTAATATGAAAAAATAGCCATCAATTTTTAAGACCACCAGCCAATGCCCTTGACTATCTGTCCTGTATGCAATTATATCACCTGGAAACCTATTAAAGCAAACTGCAACACCAGCAGACTTGTTAGTCCCATGACTAAACAGTATTTGATCACCCCATTGGTTAGACCAAAACATAACATCCTCTTGGGAAGAATGAGTTTCTTGTAATAATAGACATTGTGGTTTTCGCCCTTTACAAAATAAAAATAGTGCCTTTCATTTGACCAAATCTTTTAGACCCCTCACGTTTAGTGAAGCAAAGGAAACTGAACAATTGAACATTGCTCGAGATACTGAAGATAACTAAAAAGTGCAAACAAAAACAAAACAGTAAAAACTTGCTTCAAAGCTTATTTAAACAAAACAGTAAGATAAGAACTTACTTCAAGCTTACTCATGCTGGTTCGTAAATACAAAAAAGTCCCTTGTCCTTTTAACGCACTCCTTTTACACCTAGTGTAAGTAGATCAAACCTTTCTTTGCTTAATCAATTTGACGACCCTCTATGTATCCGTGCGGCCCGCGGTGATAAGCACGCTTTCCATCCCGACGAGCCTGTCCAATCTGCGGCCACAGTTTCTTCCTTGCCTCCCTGTCCTCTAGCGGAAGCATCTCGGCGAGGCGGACGCCTTTCTCTCTGCACACCAGGGAATCCTTGCATCGCCGCCACAACTCCTCCTTGACAAGTCTCCGGACAAATAAAACAACTATGTGCCTACTTCTGTTATCTTCTTTACGGCCGACTCTGTGAACAATGGCGATTGCTTCTTTGAGCTGCCGCCGTTCCATGTTGGGGGCGATCTCACTGAAGAGTTGAATGACGTCTGCTCTAACGTTCTCGTCTTTTCTTTCCGATAAACCTCTCAGTTTCAAACACCATCTCATCTTGTATCTCTCTTGTTCCCAGATTCTTTCTTTAAGCTCATTGTTTTCTTTGGACAGACATTCGCTGCACCTTTCCAGCTCGTTTATTTTCCCCTTGCATTCCATTACTTCTTCAGCATTGAACTGCACCGCTTTAGCTAGGCTAGCAACCATGTTGCTACTCTGTTTAGCTTGCTCTCGAAGTTGTGACAGTTGCTCATTAAAGTTCTTTTCTAAACTTTGAATGGCTTCCAAAATGGTCAAGTTAGAGACCTCACCTTCCTTTAAAGAAGTTTTGCTCTTCTTCACGGCTGGAATCTTACTTGGAGTTGATGGCACGGAGTCTTTTCTTTTGCTGATTGTGCTAACTTCCATAGCGTAGTCATGGTCGGTAGATTGCTCTAGAATCTTTGCGTCCTTAGGACTCATCGCAACTTGCTTCTTTTCACTGTCTCCGTCTTTAAATATCAGTCTAGCTGGTTTGATCATACTTCATTATACTTTTCCAAATAATTGGAGTGTCTTTTATAAGCTTAAAGTCAAAATTCGGGACAATTTTCTTCCGACTCTAAAGCGAGCGACTGATCAACACGCCATCTTGCCCGGAACCCGGCTGCAATACAAGTGCATAAGTTAGTTTTGCACCTCATATATCGCGAAAAGAGTCGCAAAAGTCAAGGCACGAAATTTGAATTTGCAGTGACAGATTTGAGAAGTTGCAAGTGCCTACTCGAGGTTGTATTGCGAATGTGAATGTAAGAATAAATGCAAATATTACATGTTTGTGACTGTATTTCTGTGAATGGCATTTTACACATTTGTGACTACTTGTCTGCAGCTTCAAATTCAGAATACAGGCTTGTGACTATTATCTGCGAGTGCAAATTTCAACATTCAACTTCAGATTTTTATTTTACCTGTTTTCACATTGGAGCTGTGAGTGTAAATGTTCACATACAAGTACGAATATGTATTGTAGGCCTACAAGTTCTCAAATTCACATACGTGCTCTCGAGTATTGCTACTCTTTTACCTTCATACTATGGAAACACCCTTAGCACTTAACACAAAATTATGACATTTTTTGTCTCAGTGCATGCATTGTCTTAGTTTGGCAGCGCCGCCGCTAGCTTAGCTTAGCATAATGAATGGAATCCTTTGTTGCCGGATAGCATGTCGTGAGTAAAAGTGATAAAAAACTAAAAAAAACTAATTACTTCTTGTTACCTGCGTATTCACGAGTACAAATAGCAATGCAGATTAAGACTAGGCGATTTCCTAGGCAGATTTTGACTTGGGACTATATTGGGGTGAAGCA